CCAACATAAAACCCAGACATAATAGAACTGCCTCTTGTCTACCTGTGGTATGAGTATACTCCTCCTGGAGCTGTGGCCACCACTGCAGCCACAGGGAAAAGGCTGAAAGTTTTCTACTGTGCCAACATCAGATAACTTACAGACCATACGAAATGAGCAAACTATATGCCTCATTCAAACTTTTCGTACCTTGTTTAAAACATTTTTCAATGTGTGTGTGTGTGTGTGTGTGTGTGTGTGTGTGTGTGAGAGAGAGAGAGAGAGAGAGAGAGAGAGAGAGAGAGAGAGAGAGAGAGAGAGAGGGGCAGACAGACGGACGGACAGACGGGATGTGAGCATATGAAAGTCAGGACTTCTGGAAGTTGGTTCTCTCCTCCACTGGGAGATCTGGGAACTGAGACATGATCATCAGGCTTTAACCTCCTGACCCATCTTGTCAGCCTTTATTTCCAACAGATAAAACTGAATACCAGGGATAAACAATCTTTTCTGAGTTATCAAAAATGATCATGTAGGAATATTCACTAGAAGGATGAAAGGAGGGGTTGGTGAGATGGCTAGGCTAGGAAAGGTGCTTTGCTGTCAAGCCTGATGATGCAAGTTAATCACTGTGACCCATAATAGAGATAAGAGGACTCCAAATTGTCTCCTGACTGCCACATGATGTTGGAGTGATTTCTTATTAATAAAGAAACTGCCTAGGCCCATTTGCATTTGATAGGCCCACCCTTAGGTGGGTGGAGAAAACAGAAGAGAATTCTGGGAAAAAGAAGCGGAGGAAGAGTCGCCATGATGCTCCCACGCCAGACAGATGCAGGTTAAGATCCTCCCTGGTAAGCCAGCTCGTGGGCTACGCAGAATATTAGAAATGGGTTAGAACAATATGTAAGAGCTAACCAATAAGAAACTGGAACTAGCCGGGCCAGGCAGTGTTTGAAAGAATACAGTTTCCGTGTAATTATTTCTGGGTATAAACTAGCCATGCGGGCGGCCGGGTGCCGGGGACGCAGCCCTGCC